TGATTAGGAAAAGGGGTGGGGGGGGGGTGTTTCATCTGATGTGAGCTCATTCCATCCCGGGGGGAGAGAACAGAAAGCAATTATACACGGATATAAAATGCAGCCTGGCGATCCAGCTGATCTCCTCCGAGGACCGGGGCGTCCGGGGCTTGTTTCCAAAGTGTTGTGTTTTGTGTTGATGCTGCTGCTGCTGATTTTAAAGGGAGAGGGGAATGGAGGTGGTAGGCGGTGGGTGCAGGAAGACGCGCTCCTTCATGTCCTCCCGGCTTTTTTGGCCGGCTACCTCGCCCCTCGCCCTAGCCAGCTGAGGGGAAAAAGAAAAGAAAAAGAAAAAAGTAGCAGAAAAGTAAAAGGAAAAGGAAAAGAAAAGTTCCTTTCATCGTTGGAAGGAATTTAAAAAAAAAGAGGAGGGAGGGCTCCAGAAGACCACCGCTGGGATAAAGGCTTTGGAGAGCACAGACCGCACCGGCCGCCTCTCCGGATCCTGTCCTTACCTGCCGTCCGCGGCCGATTTTTCTCTTACCTGCCGCTTGTCAAGGGCCGCGAAGCCGTTGCATGGCCGGCCGAGGAGCGGGGAGGGGGGGCGTGGCCGGGAGCCCGAGAGCCAATCGGAACCCCGGCCCGGGGACCGAGCCCTCCATAAAAAGGCGAGCCCTGGATAACGCGCTCCTTGTTTCGCCGCCCGGCTCGCCTGCGCGCTTGTTCTGCGGGCCAGGTAGAGTCGTCCCGCGCGGGGAGGCTCGATCGCGCGCTGCCGGAGAGGACCGCTCGGGTCGTGCGCTCAGGCTTTGAAGTCGCCCTGAGAGAGAGAAAGAAACAAAGAGAGAAAGAGATGGCTGCGATTAATGGGACCGTCGAGAACGGGCAGCCGGAGAAAAAGATGCCCCCGCCGCTCCCTCACCCTATTCGGAACCTAGAGGTCAAATACACGAAGGTAAGAAGAGTGAATGGAAGGTGAGGAGGGTGTCTTAAACCCCACCCACCCATGTGTGCCGTGGGAATATCTCTTATCCATTGGAGTTTTTTTTTTTTAAAGTCAGGTTTCTAGTCTCTAAGGAATCTTGTTTATTCCTCTCTTTTCCATTGAAGTTTTTTTAAAAATTCATGTTAATAGTCTCTAAGGAATCTTGTTTATTCCTCTCTTTTCCACTGAAGTTTTTTTTAATCAAGTTTCTAGTCCTTAAGGAATCTTGTGTATTCCTCTCTTCCAGAAACCTTGCCTGTCCTTATCGCTAGAAAGCCCTCAGACCTTCTCAGAACAGGAGATGGCTCCAAGACAAAAGCCATAAAATAGGATACGGGGCGTATATGTGGGGGCTTTCTAGGGAGAAAAGGTAGCTCAAAAAACAACAATAGGTTTCATGAGCTGCTTAAGATGCGCTGGTGTCCGCTTTGGTGATGATTAGAAGGCAGTTTTCATGTGTGTGGGTTCTCTAAGCTTGGATGCGAGGAGTAACAACTTAAAAGCCCTGCATCGCTATTGTGTGTATTTTCTAACTAGGGAAACGGCCACTTGATCAGCTGTTAATGTTTGATGGCTGGTCACGTCAGTCTTGGGCACCCCGGCTGTCCGAGAAGCACAACAGCAAGGTGAAGTTTTAGGGTTGTCCAAGCTATTATGCTTTGGACCCATCAGAGAAAAAAAAAGATTCACGAGAAAAGACAGTAAGACTGACGAGATAGCATAGAAGGAAGCAGGAAAAGAGGCAGCTCTATCGTGAGATGGATTGACTCAATAAAAGGAAAGTAGGGCCTTTAGTTTGCAAGACCATTCATGACAGGAACCTTTGAAGGGAACCCGTTTGTGGGGCGGCGATACATTACGAAGCCATTTCACAGGGCACGACCCCAAGAGAAGACGAGAGCTCGTGACTTGTTCTCATTGAATCAGAAGGGAGGGCATCTCTTATAAAGTGCTGACCGACTTTGATGTTCCCTTAAACTAAACAATAACATATGTGTGAAACAATCCTAACTAAAGAAATTCAAACAATGGATGTTATTTTAAAAAGGTGGAGAAGAAAACCCTCAGTTCACAAGCCGGGCTTCTACCTCTTTAAATTTTTAAATTAAATCTCTACTTTTAAGAGAGTAGGTTTGGGAGATCTTTCTTCGTTGGCTGGTGCCACTGCAGAGAAGGCCCCGCTTATGGCAGCTAGTTTGGCCTCTCCTGGGCAGAATGGGGAAGCAAGGTTTCAATGAACACTTTTACAAGTTATTGGGTAGAAAGGGGTCTCAGAATCAACCAGGTCTAAAACCAATGACGTATCTCTGGAGCTACTTGAGGTCTTCATGTATTCCCGAGAGGAGGCTGGATTGAGGTTCTTTCTCTTCTTGGTGCCTCCTCATTGTCTTGATAACAAAATATTGTGTCGATTGGCATGTTGAGGATGGTCAAGGCCCAACCCAATGAGCCATGGCATTCATTGGCTAGTTCTGGAACGCAGGACGGTTAATATGGATGTCATGCTTCGAGGAGAGATGAGCCAGAAGTGCTGAGGAAATAATGGCTGGCTCACACCATCTCATGACTCAACTGACATTCTGGCCTAGGGATTTTCCTCATTTGCAGCACCCGCTTAGAGGAGAGCTTAAAATTTGCTTTCCCACAGCAGACACCTTGTTTTTCCACATCTCCCGGTCAAGATGGGACACAGTTGTGGTCTTGAACTCTTGGGGAAGAGGAGGGAGGAAAGGGAGACTGAGTGAGCAGAAATGTAAAAATCCGTGACACAGAGTAATTTCATTTATTCTGCGTTAGCTGGACATGGGTAGATCTTCTGTATCAATCTGCCAGCCCCATCTTCCTTGCAGATTGCCTTTCTTGTAGATTTATCCCTGTCGCCTTCCGAAGAAGAAGATTTATTTTTATACAAACAGTTGTGGAAACTCTGGAGACAGTGTCATATGAATGAAAGGGCAGGGTTTGCACTGGACAAATGCAATAGCTGGAACTATAAAACAGGGTCTTTCCCATAGCAAATGTCTGCAGCCGTGCTATTCTTTTTTAATAAAAATTTAAATTATGTTTGACGTATGTTGGATTCAAGAGAGATAAAACGGTTCCCTCTTTAGCTTGTGATCGATGTCTGAAAAAAAATCATCTTTCTACCGACTGCTTTAACTGAAAGGCGCTCTCCTGAGTGCGGCGTAATACTTTCATCTCCACAGAGGTAGAAGGAAAGAATTAAAATAAGTATGATAACTTCTATGGGCCCCATTTTTTTGGTAGATTCCAGCTTTCCTAGTTATAAAGGTTTTTGGGTTTTTTTGCATGTTTTGGTGGTGAAAAATTAGGGATTGCACATGAAATTCAGGGCTAGTACCCCTACATTGATATTTGTATGTATTCTTCTTTGATATATGGGTTGAAGTTCCTGTCTTTACAAATAAATTAGTAATGGCCCAGCAGGAAATAATACCTGAAATGGAGAATAGTGTAATTAAGAAAATAAGATAAAAATGAGGTTTATAATGCTGTGAAGGAAATATGAATGATTAATATATATTTTTGTTCATTTATAATACTTTTTAACATTTTTTGGGGGGGGTCATGGACTCCTTGAACTGTCTGATGAGAACTATTGATTGCCTTCACAGAAAACTGAACATAAAAACTTAGCACATTTTGTATACAATTTATTTTATACCAAAAAAAGAAATAAAAGGGTGGGTAGCCACACTTAGCTCATGGACCACCTCCTCAAAGACTGTAGATTAAGAACTCTTCCTTTATATCGTGGGGCATAATTAAGTTTGTTGAATTTATACCTTCTATTTCCATAAAAAATTATCATGCACCTCCTGTTTAAGCTATGAAACTAGATGAAGGTATGCCTTCCAACTTATATAAAATAAAAAAATGCACGGATAGAATAAGGAGGTGATTGAAGGAAGATGGCAAGAGATTTGCACACAACTACTAGAGAAGTATTAAATGTTTGTTCTAACCAGAATTAGTTTTATCTGTTATGGTAACTCAGTTACAGAGTAAGAGTCTAACCGAAAGGGGAAGGGCTCAGCGTTCTAGTTTTGCTGCTGATAACAACTTAATTTTTCAAAATCCATTAACTGTCTGGTTTCTACTGATTAACTAATCCATTGGTTAAATTTGTCAACACATTGCAGAAGTGTGCATTCTTGAGGGTCTTGAAAAGAGTTGACCTGGATTTCAGCTGAGCGCCTTTGGCTTCGGTTTCTGGGGCGGTTAGAACAAGAGGATAAAACCCAACTTTTCCTGGCTAACTTATTTTGACACATCACAGCACCTTCCAGAGAGGATAGAAAGAGTGTTGTCAGGAAAACTGTTCATTATCCTTCCCATAACAGAGAAAGCCATTTGGCTAATCTACCGATAATTTTCTTGCAAGATCTAGTGCGGTGGGAGCAGGGAAAAGATGCTAAGGGGGAAAAAAACCACTTCTAAACTGGGCTGCTGTGAATGCTAATAGAAGATAAAATACAACTTTTGGAACAGAAATGTATGGCCTGAAGCCAGCAATTTGGTCTTTTATTTCCCCATTCTGTAACGGAAGTTTTTAGGAAATTTTACTAGCTACAATTTTCGGCCGAGGCCTAGAATTTGCAGAATAGCACAAAAACTGAACTATTACTTGTGTTGCTTGTGACTGTAACAACACACTCATCTTTGAAGAATAAGGCCAAGATCCTCTGCATGTATAGCTGAACTTAGCATCTCTTGTGTGTGATTAAATTTGGAGGGGGTCAGGTCACATAATCTTTAAAACCTGACAGAACTCGGCATTGTAGTACATTCCTTTTTCTATGCGGTCCTGATTTGCGTATCAGTTTACAATCTTCTGCTAGATGTCCTCTGTAATCTTGTTTAAATTTTTTTTAGTTCTTTGCAAAGTCCCTCATAAGGCAGAGCAGAAGCATTCTGAAGTCCCTTTCCCTATTTAAGGAAAATGCTTTGGTGTGGTTTAGTTGTTTATTTGTCCCGCCTGGAGAATTTCTGAAAGAACTGGCCATCTTTGGCAAGAAGCCGTTTTGATTACTCACTCCCACTGAAAAGTTTCTGGCGCTGGGTTTTTAATGGCGTTTGAATTTAACAGGAATTGGACGGAGCCAACGAATCTATTTGGGCTTGGCTCGTCGAAAGAATTACACGAACTTCACGGGCTGATTTGGAAGCAGCCAAACGGTTATTATCTGTATCAGACCCATCTATGGCCAATGTAATTGGATTTTTTTTTTTTAAAAATAATCATCTTGTATGTGTAGTTCTAGGACTATGGGTTTATTTTTCTTTCTTTCTTTTTAAAGATAACCATGACTTGTTCTCCCTTTGGGAAAATATTTGCTAAACATTGTTCAGCTGCCCCAAACAATAAATGTCTTCTTGTTCAAAGATGGGATTTTACTTACCTGTGTGATTGAGCGAATCTTGCTTCCCAAGAAAACCTGTCTTGAGCTCTTCATGACCGATCATAACGGAAAACATCATAGAGAAAAGTTGTGTTAGGCTAAACAACTGAATTTAGTCTCTTAAGGGAGCTCCCATTCAAACAATGCACCGTATTGTCTGTTTCTGCTCTAAGTCTCAGTTCTTAGGCGCTGATATGCTACCATTTCACTTTCAACCAACATGCTTAACATTTACCTGTATGCGGGTAGAAGTGGCATTCCATGGCATTGTTAATCAGCAGAGAAAAATGGATGGATCAACACCTAAAAGTGTATGTGTCCATTCTTGGTAAACGGGTGAGACGGAAAGGCACAATCTTTTTGACATATTTTTTGTTTCTAACATTTGTTTTTTTAAAAAATTCCTTAAATGTGTGGCTAGCAACCATACCGTGTTATTAAAAAAAAAAAAAAAGTAAGGATTCCGCACCTCCCATTTTTATTGGTATGGTCAAGGAGACAGGATTTTGGGCCATGCTCTTTCCAGGGTGACGATCCTAATCATAGTTTCTTTCCCCTACAAACCAATTAGCATCATGGAGTTTTGTGTTACAATGTTGTGTGAAATATCGCTGCTTTAGAAAAATAATCTCACCTATCTACCTACATAAGGGACGTGGTGGCACTGCAGGTTGAACCGCAGAAGTCTCTGTGCTGCAAGGTCGGAAGGCCAGCCATCGTAAGATCGAATCCATGCGATGGAGTGAGCGCCCGTCGCTTGTCCCAGCTCCTGCCAAGCTAGCAGTTCAAAAGCATGTAATATGCGAGTAGATAAATAGGTAACACCACGGTGGGAAGGTAACGGCGTTCCATGTCTAGTCACGCTGGCCATGTGACCTCGGAAACAATCTACGGACAAACGTTGGCTCTATGGCTTGGAGACGGGAATGAGCACCGCTCCCTAGAGTCGAACACAACTGGACTAAATGTCAAGGGGAACCTTCACTTTTTTTATCTACAGTACCTGCTGCATATACTCTGTTCAGGGCTTACACTTGAAAAACAATCAGAGAGAACAGCTCGTGCCAAAAGTGGTACGTGAGCTGAGTGGAGCTGGTTATACAGGCTGTTGAAGCTGTTGCCTTCTGCCGTTGTATCTATTTCTGAACCTTTCAAGGTCCTTATCGTGGTTTCAAGCTATTTATGGTTTTAATCGGCGTCTGAACAATAACGTGTTCCCTTGTGAACTTACCAAGCACTTGAGTTTATCATCTAAATCTCTATAGTTTCTCCCACCTCATGGAGAAGTCAGGTTGGTGGAGACTCAACACAGTATCTTTTGTCTCGCGGCATCTCAGGGTGGAATCAGATGAGAAAGTATTTTGTCTGGTCACACTGGAAAGTGTAGCTTCCTGGGGAGTCATCTAAAAGTAACTTTTCCATTCATCCGGGAATTGCTCCACCTTGGCCCCTCGGTCAGGGTTGGGCTGAAGTTCATGGCAATTTACTGGGCAATGGGCACCGTGAAATAGCATGCACCAGGTTGCACCAGAAGCAGTCCAAAACACACGCCATTTCCCTACCTGCTTGCACTGTCAGTTGTAGAACACCCTCCCCAGGCAGATTAGGGTGAGTTCCTCACTGGACATGTAGTAAAAATTGTGTCTCTTGGCGGCTTTTAGGAAGACTGCAAAGATGCATTTTTCAGTCTAGCATTTTTGATACGAACAGAATACACCATTGGTTTATTTAATTATTTCATTTGTGCTCTTGGTTAGCTGTCTTGAACAGCTTTCTTTTAAGCGGAAAGGTAAGATAAATTGGAACGAATAAAATGAATGATACGTTGTTGAGTTTTTGATGGGTCTGTTGTAATCTGGCTCAAGACGTTGCAAGGGCTTTGAGAGGCGATCTGAAAAATAAAGACATGGTTTCTGCATTAAAGAAATAGGTGTTGGTGTCTGACCCAACCATGCAGCAAAGAGTGTTTAGGAAGATAAGTTAAATGAACAATTTTGTGTCTTTGCTATAAATGTGCAGTCTGAGTGGATCCTTTGAACTTCAGTTTAATCACAAGGCCCAAAGAAAATAAATGTGAGCTCTATATTGCCTACAGCTTCTGCTAATGTTGAGTTTTTGTGCTGCTACATAGGATATTTACACAGATGTACATACCTAGGAATAAAATATAATAAACTGAAGGTTTTGGATTTCTGTATTTCTTGGACTTCAACCCCTTGCATTCTGGTAGTTTTCTGAGAGGAATCCTGTACAGACCCTTGTGGCTAGAGACTACCAGACCACTAATTCCTTGCAGCTCCCATGGAGCTTAGCCTTGCCTGTCCATTTCCCATGTCTTCTCCACAGGAAGAAGGTGGCTGCTGGAATCTTAACTACCTTTTAAGAAAAACACAAAAATCCCATTCCTATGATGTCGCTGCAGCATCACTTCAATTTTCATCATGGCACCCAAGACTACTTTTAGTAGAGTGCTAGTGGGGGTGAATATGATGGACTCCTTTTTTTGCATAAAAATCGAAACAAAACTCATCTAGAATCTGTGCATACAGTAAATCAGCAGCAGGTCCAAGAGACATTGGCCTTCTTGTAATCATAACCTCTCTCTCTCTTTAGATATTTATCAACAATGAATGGCATGAGTCAAGCAGCGGAAAGAAGTTCCCTACTTTCAATCCTTCAAAGCAGGAGAAGATCTGTGATGTTGAAGAAGGAGACAAGGTGTGTTTTTCTTAAGTCCAGTTGCTGAGAGCTAGGCAGGGCATGTGCATAATGGCTCTGCAAAAATGTATTAAAGCCAGTGATGTCTACTGGAAAAGTTACATTAATAATTTTCTAGCTGTTATCGGTGCAATCAGTCTGTCTGGGACCCCAGTCTAGTTCAGTTTAAGCATTCTTTTCCACTGGCCAGACCATCAAACCAGAACTAGGACCAAGACAGGAGAATCTAGAAATAATCAAGACTGAGACAAGGCATGTTTGGGGAGTACGTTAAAAAGAAATAAAGTGTAACAAATGTTTTAACTTGAAAGCTATGCAACAGTGTAGTTTGGATTTCACTGCATGATATGGTTAGTATATCATTAGAAGCAGAGGTACCTTGAGAAGTAGAGGATGTCTGTTTATCCATATATGTGTGTAGGCATCCTTCAGTCTCAAGAGACTATGGTAATGTGCTTTGAATAGAAGTCTTGGAACAGCATCTAGTGTGGCTGAGAAGGCCAATTCGAGAGTGACCGTCCCTTCCACACTGAAGACAAATACAATCTGTCCCCTGTCCAGCTCCCTGATTTGGCTGGTTTTGGGATGGCCTCTTTGCCTCGGCCTGCTGGAC